TCTCTCTCCTCCTGCCCCTCACTGTCTCTCTCTCTCTCCTCCTGCCCCTCACTGTCTCTCTCCTCCTGCCCCTCACTGTCTCTCTCTCTCTCCTCCTGCCCCTCACTGTCTCTCTCTCTCTCCTCCTGCCCCTCACTGTCTCTCTCTCTCTTCTCCTGCCCCTCACTGTCTCTCTCCTCCTGCCCCTCACTGTCTCTCTTTCTCTCCTCCTGCCCCTCACTAGTGTGGTTGTGTAGATAGGGGTTGTGTAGTTGCATAGATACAGTCTCTGTTTCTTCACCATCGTGGGTGAAACAGATGACCCCCCCCCAATACACACACACAACAGAAATAGATTCCAGACACAGAGCAGTTCTGAAGGAGAAGGACAACAGAATCACAAAATAGAAAAAGGACAGAAGCCATTTCCTCTTAATTTGCTTCCAAAATCTTGACAACTTTCAAAAATGGAGTGGCCTATAAATCAGAGGAAAGGGTCAGAGTTCAGGAAGTGTTCAGAGGTCACTCGTTACTGCGCCTTCCTGGAAACACCCGCCAGCCCCAATACAACCCCTTACTCTGCACTAATCTCTGGGGGTGTCTGTCTGTCGGTCAGGGTGGGGACAGACAGACAGTGGCTTTCCTGTTTGCCTTCTTAGGAAAGTTCACAGCCTATTCCAGCAGGAAACCTCAGGCCTCCCTGCTCTCTCCTGCATGCAGTGTAGGGACCCAGCCCACTCACTGGACCTTGAGAAGGTGGATATACAAGGGGTTCAGCATCAGCAGCATGCCTGCAGAGATTGTTCCCCACTTCCGCCTCTCCCTGTGTACAGGACAGACTCGGTTCTGAGTCCGAAGCTCACTCCCTCCTAGTTTTCTTTAGTGCCCAGTCATATAGGATTAGGCTGTGCAGCGGCCTTGCAGGATTTTGAACATTTGTACCAAATGACCTCCTTACGTATCCCCTGCTCAAGACTACAGAGACGTGTGCTTTGCAGAATGACCTCGTCTGTGAGGAGTAATCCTTACTGCTCTGGGCTGTGGCTTTCGATGGTGGACTACCGGAACACCAAACTGAGGGAGGAGTTTCCAATGAAATCTGCTATTTGAAAGGCATCTCTAGCACAAGTACATATATCACCCTTAACCCCTTCAAACTCTGATGTCAGCACAGCTGATTTCTGGAGCAGATCGCTTTGTTTTCACCTGTATTGCACTCATAATAATGGGGGACAACAAATCCCTTCATTCCTGCAGTGATATGGCTTAAGATCACTATGCAGGAGCGAAGAGCATCTCACCTTGTTTTCCAACCTCTTCCTCCCGGTGAGGGTCGCAGGGCTATCCCTGAGCAGGGTCCACCAGAATTCCATTCCCCCAGCATCGTCTCCAGGGGCAGGGAAGGCACTGAGGGAGAAGGCGCTCAGGGCTTTCTACACAACAAAAATGGAGCTTTTCAACCGCAACCCACCTACAAGAATCTGGCTCCAAATATCTGAAAGTGTAATCCAACCCATTGCCCTTTACGGCAGTGAAGTGTGGGGTCCCCTCACATACCAGGGGTACACTAAACAGGACAAAAACCTCATAGAAACTCCCCACACAGAGTTCTGTAGAAACATCCTCCATGTGCAGAGAAAAACACCTCACAACGGGTGTAGGGCCGAATTAGGCTGATACACATTACTAATCAATATACAAAAGAGAGTAATAAAGTATTGGCTACATCTAAAAAGCAGCGACCAAAACTTCTACCACTAGAAGGCCCTGCAGAGCCAAGAGCCGAGCCCAACAAAGAGCCCTTTGAGCCAGCTGGTCCTGAGGCTCACTGGCCCAAGCCACAATGACACCAGCCAGCCTCAGGACAGCACTGCTAGAGCACCACAATTTACAATCAACCACATCACAGCACAGTGTTTGTCTATCAGTGTGTGTAGGATGTAAATGTGATCAGATGTGCGGTGATCTGGTAAGAAGCCAATCTGACTCTTACTCGGGACATTGTGTTCGGTAAGGAAGGCCAGTATTCGTGTATTTAGGATACTGTTTAATTCAAATTATAGTCATGCCAAAGCAATAACAGCAAAACATTTACATTCATGACTATGACATTATGACAGAGAGGCTCACTCTCTGTTCCTCAGACTTTGACAGGAGAGCTCATACTGGGTTGTAGCTCTTTTGAGCTTGATCCTCCAGTAGGATAGGAAGATGATTGGATTCTGGCAGGAGTAGGAAAACTGGGATTGGCCTTTTGCTTTATGTTGTCCAATAGGGAATTTTAGGGAAGAATTTTTGTCAGATCCCAGAGTACTTGTCACAGTGCAGCAGAAATTGCGTCTCTGTCTCTGTTTCTCCCTGCTGGCAGTGGGAGCACAGCCTGTCCTCTCTGGACAGCCAGGTCTGTCTGTGTCCAGTTTCTATGTCCAGGCTGTGGTCACTGAGCCTGTCCTCTCTGGACAGCCAGGTCTGTCTGTGTCCAGTTTCAATGTCCAGGGTGTGGTCACTGAGCCTGTCCCCTCTGTTCCAGCCAGGTCTGTCTGTGTCCTGTTTCTGTGTCCAGGCTGTGGTCACTGAGCCTGTCCTCTCTGTTCCAGCCAGGCCTGTCTGTGGGTGAGAGCAGGACTAGGACATCAGTGTAGAACAGGAAGTGTTGTGTAGTGTTGGCCAGGAGCTCAGACTGTTGCCACACCTCTGCTAACTTATTGATAGAGATATTGAACAGCTGGACTCAGACTGCAGCCCTGTCTCACCCCACGACCCTGAGTGAAGAATTCTGTCCTTTTTTTTCTAATTCTCACTGCACACCTGTTCTCCGAGTAAATTGACTTAATTACGTCATGGACTTTGTACACCACTTAAGCCACTTTGAGGAAGTTGGTAAAACAATCCTTCGTGCCAGATTTAATCAATTGCTTTTTGAAGCAGGCAAATATTTGTCCTCTTTTCCCTAGTGGACGTGTGTGTTTATAAGTGTGCCTAGGGTGTAAATGTGATCAGATGTGCGTCAGTTGGTTGGGAAGGCGATCTGACTCTTGCTGAGGTCACTGTGCTTGGTAAGGAAGGCCAGTGTTCGGGCATTCATGATACTGCAGAATACAGTACCTTCCCCAGATTACTACTGTTCACTCTATGACTCTATCGCACACGTGTAGTTTATATCCTAAAAAATACACAACAGCGTCTCTGCCGCAGCCCGAATGATCCCGGCTTTGTGCACAGCTTAAAAATATCAGATCAATATTAATCGATAAGTAAATTTAACTCACAATTCTAAGCAAAAAAAAAAAACATTTAAGATAAGCATTTCTAATATTGCAAAGGAACAAGTAATAGGTTTATTCCATGATGAAAAAAAAACGAAGAAAGAGAACACAACGTTTCGGCCGTGGAGCCTTCTTCAGGTTTTCTAATTTCTAATTTCATTTGAAATTCTTCAAATTTCTAATATTGTTTTTTAAATAATGAATAATGTATATTTAAATTAAAATAATATAAGATACATTCATAATTATGATATGTTTAATTATTAATTCAAGAAAAATAACAGCCAGAATAAAAATACGGTTAATTGGGGATAATCTGGGCGATAAAACTGGCGCAGAATGTGTGGACGCGCTCGAAGCGAGAACGCGCGACGGAATGGAGCGGAGGGGGCGTGTAAACTGGCGCGGGAGCGCGCAGGAGGGAGGTTCAGCCGGCGGACAGTATTTGAGACCCAATGGCCGGGACAGCGCAGCCAGCAGCGCCGGGGGTCCGAGACCAGGACAGCAGAGAGTCCTCATCTGCGCGGCTGAGCGAGAGATGGGGAACTGACCACAGAGCAGAGAAGGGTGGGATGGGCCAGGGCAATAAAATTAACGCGACGAAAAATTTAATTTCAAGTATGCCTCAGATAAAAGCACTTAAATAAAGCGACCGAAAAGACTGGGTTGTTGTACCGGGAAGGGAGTTAAAAAGGTAGCCGTTTGTAAGAGAAGAGGAGCGACTATTGGACGAGAGGCTGAAACACCTGTTTCTTCTGGCGGAGTCTGACCCATCCTGGGCGCTTAAGCGAAACCTGCCGATTTTACTTACAAAATAACAACCAAGTGACAGAACAAAGTTTTCCTGCCAGGGTGTGACTTATATTTATTTGAAGGGCAGCTTGACCATAATGCGTTATTTATTTATACGGGTTTAGCGCTTTTCAGACTCAGAGCTGGCGGAAAGGGCAGAGCGGCTACTCAGAAATAAAATGTCTTTCAAGTTTCGGGAATGTCTTCATCGCAGAATAAATCATCAACCAGGTGACAGAGAAGGGTGGTGAGATTGCTATTTATTAAGACGTTTGTGCAGAGGTCTGATTAAAATACGTAAAGGAATCAACCAATTCAAATAAACAATTTTATTTAATGAATTAAAAAAGAAATCTTACATATTCGGAAATAAATGAATGATACAAAACTGAATGCAGTTTAGTAAACGTTAAGGGAAGAAACTGGAATTTGAAAGAACTTATTGCTAGACTGAAACAGGTAGCTTCATAGCAAGGCTTGGATTTGTTTTATACTGATAGGGAGTTAAAACCTTGGTTAAGATCAGAGGTGGGATGTCAGATACATTATTTTAGGCATTAACCAGAGAATTCCGGTGATATTAGACGGCAAGGTGCAGAGCTGATGTGGACGAGGCGCTGCCTGTAACTCGGAGTGGCCGTTGGCGGATCCTCCGATTCAAATGGCAGCGGGAGCTCGAGAGGGAGCTCGTGCGGTGGGCTAAGACGCTCCGCGACTGGGACCCCGCGCCGCCAGCCCCGTCACCGGAGCTCGCGCCAATGCCGCTGACGGTTGGTCCCGGACTGGTCCGGCTCGGCCTGCTCTCGCTCTGCGGCTGGCTGCTGGCCCAGGGCTGCGGGCCGGGCCCCGGTCACGGCCGGCGCCCGAAGATGCGCAAGCTGACCCCCATCCCCTACAAGCATTCGGTCCCCAACTTCTCCGAGAACAACCTGGGCGCCAGCGGGCGAGCCGAGGGCAAGATAACGCGCAGCTCGGAGCGCTTCAAGGACCTGGTCGCCAACTACAACCCCGACATCATCTTCAAGGACGAGGAGAACACGTCCGCCGACCGGCTCATGACCAAGGTGAGAGTCCGAGGCACCCGCTCCAGGAGGCTCATGGCCATACCGGAGGCGCTCAGGGACCGCACCTTGAGTAATGTTCTGATGAATGCGCGTTACACGCTCCGATTAGGGCTGCGGTAAGTCAATATTATCGACAGGTGGGTTTGTTGTTAGCAAAGGCCGGTTTTAAAATATTATTGCGCTATGAAAAAAAAAACGTTGTGTGTTTATTTTCACCCTGACTTGAAAAACATTGTCTGTTGCCTGCCTCTTGCATGTGATGTGAGGTTTGTGTGATGGTTATCAAGCTCTTACATACAGTAGAGGTGTAGAATATTGATTGCCAAACTGGTGTCTGAAGGCTCAGGGTGTCTTCAGAAAGTATAGGGAAGTGAAGTCCCCAAGAAAACGTGAGCACGTTTGTGTCAGCACATTTCAGTCTCCTCTCAAAGCAGATTTATGCAGGTGAGATCAAGCAGAGAAATCTGCACTGAACGGAGAAGAATGTGTTTAACAAGTTCTTTGAGTTGACAAAGGCTTGGAAGGATTATGGATTTGTTATACCACCCTCACACACACACACTGCCCATAAAGGAGACAAACACAGCACACCTCAAAGGTTTTGCTGTAGTCCCCTGTCCTTTTTCGAAAGCGAAGGGGGACAGGAGGAGGCTTTCTCAGGGGCTGGTCACGTCGAGAGAGTGAAGAAGAAGAGCACACTCCAATTTCACTGGCAGTCTTCACCACCAGACCCCCACCCTGACGCTCAGCTGACACGCTAGGAGACAGGGAGTGAGTGCGTAGAGACCAGATACCTTTAGTTTCAGTCATCCCTGTGTTTGATGAGTTGGCAAGCACAGTAATCCTCCACTAAGCTCAGAAAAAGCACCTCTCCTAACTCTCCTTATCCAGTCTTCAGTTCCCATTGGAATAAACACAGGGCAACCAATAAGACTCCAGTTCTACAGCAGTGCCATCCATCCCAGATTTTACAGTGTGTATGAGCTGGATGTCTTGTGCTTGAAGCCTTCTTTTGAGAATGTTTTAATGAATAAATCAGTAAAGTGATTTAAATATTTGCCTTTTTCCTTCATCAGTTCAAAGGACTGTAAAAAAGCCTGCCATTCCCAGTATAGCCTGTAGCTGTAGAGCTGTACAGTTAGAATCTGAGGT